TAATATTTAATAGCCTGTTCATAATCGCCTTGATCATGTATAACAGATCCAAGATTGTTATAATAAGTTGCTTTGTCGCTCTCGCTCGATGGTTGTTCAAGTAGTGCTTTGTATAGTGCTTCAGCCTTATCGTAATGACCTGTCTTGGCTAATAGCATACCTAATCCGTTCCATCCTGTGCCACCTCCAACCTCTTTGGTTATATATTTAGTAAGTCGCTGAAGGTGTTCATCATCATCAGCAGTTAGTTGAAGTTCTACTTGATAAAGTTGATCATTATTGTTCATTTGTTTAATTGCACCAACTCGAAATACAGTATGCATGGAGAAGAGAATTTCTTCTGCCTTGTAATAACTAACCTCCTTAATAGAGGCAAATGGTGTTGATGAAACACGAGGATCAATAGTCATTATAAAAAGTATCCCCACCATGTTCGTATTTTTTAACGCATCCTTGGCGAACTGGAGGGAAGCATCTTTTTTCGTACTGGTAGATAAAAAGTTATCAAACGACATGAGGCTACCTTTTGTTTTTTTCAGCTTTTCGAAATCAGTTTTCAACAAGCCTTGGCCTCGATAAACTATAAAAGGCTTACCATGATAACTTGGGAGTTGTTGTTCATGTAGTTGTTGCAGTTGTTGGTGAAGATCACGTATAAAAAATCCCATATTAATGATTGTACCGGCATCCAATGTTCGAAGTGCTTGATTGAGTATTTGATAAATAAAACACTCTCGTGTGTACCACCAAATTGCTTGTTCTTGACGATAATCATGTTTAAATTCACTAATAACACTTAATTCTGCCATATTGTCAGAATAAAATTGGTAAGAATATATTGCTAAGATCTTGATAGCTTGTTCTTGATCATACTTTATTTCAAGGAGAATTTCCTTGAATATTTGTGTGTACATGTAATTTGGCTCCAGTTGATTCAGGTTTTCACTAGATACCGCTTCATTCGTTGTGACGAAGCTTATAGGAATTGAATCCTGACTGATTTGCTTGACATCTTGTTTGTCGTCAACCTTTAATGCATCGCAAATGCTCTTGATATCATTAGCGGGCCACCATAGGACAGTTAGTGACAATTGCCATACCAAAAATAATTTAAATACAATATTTTCTTTCGACATTTTTTCTGAAAATAATTATGTTGATAAAAAAAATCAAATTTAAGTTAAGATTTTAAAAAGAAATAAAAATACTAAAAGTTGAATCTATATCTATTAATATGGGGCATCCAGTCGAGTACACTAATCGGTGTGTAAACTAAAGGTCTACAGATTAATTCTTTAAGTATTCATCTTGTTTCTGTTCTCTTTAAATAATCCTGTAAACATTCTGTTAAGAAATCTAATGATATCCTTAAAGAAACCTTGATAAATCTTAACAAGGGTGTGGGTGTAGTTGTATCTCATGTATATCACTCACACCCACATCCACATCTACACCTACACCCATGCTAACACCCATACCCACGCCCACCGTTGAGAAGAGCTTAGAGCTGTATCAGCGTATTTTGACAATCCTTGTTGGTTTGATTGATCTTTGGATCGACCCAAACCGACAGATAATTTTGGACCATACGTTGACGTGTTGATGATGCTGTTGTTGTAACAGTAGTGTTAGATGCGCCTGAGTTGTAGGCTAAAGAAATCGTTTTTTCGATTGTTGTACACTCATATTGATGTGAATCGCAACTTGTTGGTGAATGTGAACTTATAAGTGTTGTTATTTGAATGAATTTAGGGAACAAAACAATAGTTTATATAGGCAGTGATTTGTTTTTCTTGGATTTTTCTATGACGCAAACTGTTTTTATCTTTTGTTGGTACTTGGGAATGAAGTCCCCTTCGCTTCACTCGAAAATACTCTTGCGAAGAATCATAAAGAGAGAGAGAGAGATCAACAACGTAGGTAATCAACTGCAACATCAATAGACGAACACGAAACGAAGCAAAAGTCAACAACTTATTATGTCGTATGGTTTTTCTTTCCAACCTTTATCTGCCTTTATCTACATAATAACTGCAATGTGTCAATGTGCAGCTTGTCCTTTGTTATCGAAAAAGTATCAGAAGAGCCCTTTGTTGCGTATCATTTTATTTCTTTTATTAACGAAATTTATTTATGATAGAATAACTGAAAAGAAAATGTTATTGCGATGTTTACCTATTAGTCACTCTACAGACGTTGGATCAAACAACGAGTAAAAATTAGATTCACAATTGGTTGAAATAAGATCGTGAAATCTTTCCTATTTTACCAAATCCAATATGTTATATTAGTTAACATGTATTCCAATTGATAAAAAAGAAAACGAATGAGTCAGACAGAAATCAGCCATCAAAACACACCCATCAATTAAGAGCGTATAAGAACAAACATTATTAATAGTTTTTCAGTCGGTTTATGTGTACTGTACCAGTGGTTATACTGAAATATATTGAGATGATTATGTAATGTACATATCATAGTTTATAGACATACATACTCTTTCTCTTATGTTATAGAAATAACATATATATATATATATATATATGTTTTCATTCAAATCTTCGAATACAAAACTATCATTGAAAGGAAGTGTACATGTGATTGTTAGAAATTCAAGATCATCTTATGAAAAAAAGTTCGATGATAATACCGCCTCTTATTCTTCGACAAAGGATATTATTTTATCAGTTCTTATACAAATGCAGATACGAGGAATAAGAGACATTAACAAAAAAAAAGTACATCGATAACGAAAAAAGCAAACGTCATTATATTATTATTACAGCTTCTATCTTTTTTTTGTTCTTGTGTGTATACGCAGTCAGTGAAAATGACGTATGTGTAAATAGGTGAGTTACGAAGAGAAGCAAAAGTGAATTTTTTCAACAGTTTTTTGTTATTCTCTGCTACTGTATTTTCATTAAATTGATGAACTTAAAAAAAATATGCTAAGCATAATCGACATTACTTAAACCTAATTATGATCATATCGTATGTTATACTTTATTAAGAAAGGAGGATGTGGTTATACAGTTCATCTTGTATTCAAACCCACAACCACCCTTAATTCATTATATAGTATATATCAACAGGTTATCGTTTCATTGAAAAAGTATCTACAGATAAATGAAGCTGTTTATATAACTTATTTTCTCGGATATATCCGAAATTCTGTGATTAATTTTGATCTATTTATATTAACATTGAATAAACGAATGAGAAGAATAATCTGAGCTAGAAATGAAGAATCCAAGTATAAAGTACTTAGAAGAGCTGTATTATCCAATATAATAAAATAAACAATATGTAATATGATCTCTTTTCATCTTAAAAAGTATTATGACTACTTCTTTTCTTTTCGTTTTAATTATCTGGAAATGTGACAAAACGAAGTCCATAGTCAAAATCATATTTGTGCGACACTTGCTGTAAACGAATTAAACGTTGTACGAAAGATTGGAAAACGGATGCTATTGATTTGCTCTCAATATTTCCATCTTACATTTGAACCATTATTTTCTGCTTTTTTTGTTCGCGAGTTAATCGCGAAACTCAATGATAGCTTTTTATACGAACTTCAAGAAAATAAGAATTCTGATCTCCTATATTAGTTTTTATGATTATTCACAATAAAATATCTCCATCACTTTAATAAAAATTAACTATTAGGTCAATACTAATGAAATATAGTATGATAGTACTAGAAGTAAATGTATTTTAAAATCGATTTTTTACCCTTGAAATAACTTTTTAAAGATACGATTGCAGATAAAGCATCGATTTGATGTAGTAACAGATGTATATGAAATCTATTACAAATTTTTTTTCAATTCATAGTAGATCGATATTACTTTTATATACATTTGCAGATCTTTGAATAATGATATAACCAGCTGATAAAAACATAATACATAATGAATACTTTTAATTCTTTTATTTTATACTACTGATATTTTTAGTAGAATGAAATTTATGATAAAATATATTCCAATATGAATCTATACTCCAATGTAAAAAAATGCACTCGTCTCATTCACTATCAATATAACAAGCTTCGTCAATATGAAGTTGTTCGCGTGTTCAATATTTGATTAATTTAAGTGAAAGTAAACCAATGAATGCAACATGCTTTTCAACTCTATATAATGTCTCTTAATGATCAGCTAACAGACTACTTGAAAACTAAATGACATATATCATTAGGTACATATTGAGTAGAATGCTCAAGTAGGATAACATTGATGATGACGCCTGTATTTTTCATTAACATATATTATCATTTATAGCTTATCATAAAAACATATATATGAATTCGTCTACTTTTTATTTACATAATACAACATGAGAAAAACATAAGCATAAGTGAAATGATTATTGATCACTGTTAATATTGTATTTTTATTGTTCAACACCGGATTATAATTTCATTTTATTTTACCTATTGAAGTAAATAATAAACAATATCCATATATCCAAGATAAATAGCTAGATGGATCGGTAACCAACCATCATCATTATTCTGCAACATATCACAATCACCATATTCAACAAATAGTTTTAATAAATCTAATCGATTATAAAGACAACAACAATGTATTAATGTTTGTCCATCATATTTGATTGAATTGAGATTAACTTGAGAGATTTTCCTAAGAAGATTTTTAATATCATAAATATTCGCATTTGTTTGAATCGAATGAAAAAGACGATATGTGAATTGATGATGATCAAGAATCATTCTTTTTTTTCTTCTTTCGAATAAAATGAGCAGAAGGGGAAAAATGTAATACATATATATATGTATAATGAGGAGAGAACGAATGAAAATATTTCGTAGGTGTGAACGAGAGAAAAATAAGATCAAAATGGAAACAGCTGCATACCTAATGACGAGTAAAGCACATTATATTAGATCATTTTTAATTATACAACTCTACTCATTAAAAAAGATCATATAGATTTTTTTTTTACAAAAAGATCAACAAAATAAAATATCACAATTATATTCGATTCATTCTTTTTAAATCTTCTTGTATTGATTGAGATTGTTTAAAATCATAATTTAATTCTCGATCATCAATATCTTGTTGGTCATATCTTAAACGATCAAGTTGATTATCCGATTTCGATGTTATACCATGACTATTTATTGTACGTAAATCTCGTCTTGATCGTCTTAATGATGTTTGCGATAATGTTCGTCGTAATGTTGTCCATGACATATTTCGTCTCCATGTCCATGACTCATCATATTCTCTCATTTTATATTGTAAACCATTTAATAAAGCCATAACAAGTATAAGTAAGATAATAAATATACCAAGAATAATTCCAATAACAATACCAAAATTATTAAATAAACGTGAACGTATAATCATTGTTGATGATAATGATGAATAATTAAATGAACAAGTAAGATAATTTTTATCATATAATTGTCGAATTAATAAATTATCTAATTCAAATGAATTAAATATTATTGAAGGTGTTTCATTAGTTGTAGTTAAATCAGTTAATGATTGAAGTGTTGAATGACAATTCTTTTCTATTCGATTAAAATCACATTCATTCATTTTTTCAGCTGTTTCACGACCAGACATTGAATGTAGACAAGGAATTAATTGTCCATCAAGTTGACCATGTTTATATGCGTAGAAAAGAGGACAATTGCAAATTGTTGAATTTGTACTTGAAAATAACCATGGTATGAAACGTGAAGCAGAATAAATAAGACACGAAGAATTTGTCAGATAATTAAAATGATATTGAATTAATGAATGACGACGACTAGAAAAAAATTCAATCAAATTAATTCGCAATTAAAATTCTACTCACTTAAAATTTTTTTCTTCATTCATATGTTTGTACCATTTAACATAATGAATATTATCGAAATATAGAAGAAATTTTGTTTTTATTGAAGTATAATTTAATGCTGATAAATCAACTAATGATATACTTTTCATAAAAATTTTATGATGTAAATAATTTGTTTTTAATGAATTCTTTTCAAATTTAATAATAATTACTTCTGAAAAATTCAAAAGAATCGAACCAGTATGAATTGTTGAGAATGTGTCGGTTGCAAAATTAATAATCGGATTTGGATCATTTAACGGATTACTTGATAGAATTTTTAATTGATTTTGTAGATTATTTAATGATAAATTTGAAAATGTATTAGAAAAAAATGATAAACCTCTAAGCGTATGAAATTGAAATAAAATAAGAATATTTTCACTACTATATCTACTATGTATATTATTAAATGAATAAGATTTAAAACATAAACATGTACCTAATGTGCGAATAGTAAAATTAAATATTGAATGTGAATCTAATAACATATTATCAAATGCATATGTATCAATAGTTAAACGATTTAAAAATATTGAATAAAATCTCAATGAACTTGATGTTTGTAATTGTAATGATTGAAATGAATGGGATTTAAAATAAATATGTGAAATTAATTCAAAATGAAATGATATTATTTGATGTGATTTAATAATTAATTGTGAAAATGAATTTGAATCGAATTGTATTGTATCTGTACGTGATATAAGAAATTCAACCGATGAATTAAAATCATTTTCTTTAATAACATTTTTTTCAAAATAAATTTCTGTAACAGATGATATATCAATAATTAAATGAGAATATTTATCCATTCTAATACCGGATAAAGAATTTTTATGAAATGTAACACCATAAAAATATTTTATAATTATACGTAATGTTGAATAGGAATGAATTTCAAGACCATTAAATGTATTTTCAGTTATATTTAACCATGAATTGGGTGCGGCTAATGTTATTGTTAATGTATGATTTGGTTTTTGTATAATTAATGATTGAAATGCATATGGATCTAATTTTAATTTTAATTGAGCATTTAATATCATATAGGTATCACGTGAACCTAAATTAAAATTTTTAAATGATCCTTTTGGAACATCTGTTAATTGTGTTAATATTATATCTCGATAGGATAAACAATCATAACAATTCGATGGGATATGATCAAATACACGTGGTTCATAATCATTTTGATATATTGTTGTTGATTGTACAATAAATATAATTGAAGACAATAGCAAAAGAATGCTATTGTCATGAGTATAAATCATAGCATGGAATTTAAATTTTGAATAATAAATGAAGTTCTAGAAAAAGTCTTCGATTAATGTCACTTTCTATAATCCTCAAATCTATTAAATATATTGCGTAACACCCATCGAACAATTCAATTCGTAGTAAGTAGTTTTTTTCTCTTATTACGAACGTTATTGAGAATACTTGAAAAAAACAGCGAGAGAGAAGTTTTCTCTTTTCCTCTATGTCTCGTTTCTCTCTCTCTTTTTTTCTTTTACCTATTTAATAGTAGAAAATCCTGATAGGGTTCTAATTTTTATTGCTCGTGGTTATTCTCTTGTTGTTAACGTTCATTATGAATTTTCCTATCGTATGTTTTAAGCCTTTTCTCTCGCTCTCCGTCTGTCTCTGTTATTCGCTTGTGTTTTACCTATTTAGAATCTAACCAAAAGAAAAGAAGAAAAAAAAAATACACAAGATCAACTATGAATAACAAAATCCAATGATGATCACATCGCTATGCTAGAATAAGGAAATTCTCAAATCAAATTAGTCGGACTGTCTTTGTCTTTTTCTTCTTTTCTTTGTATATATATATATATGTGTGTTTGTTGTTTGGATAGAAGTAATGGTAGACTAGTTGATTAGATTATTGAATTCTTTCTCCACCCTTTTTTTTCTCTTCTTTTCTTACAATACATGGTAATGCATGAAAAAACATAGGAAAAAAAAGCTAGAGAGAGAGACAGAGAGAGAAAGAAAGAAATACAGATAGTGAACACTAATTATCTATTAGAACATACATTTTCATGGACTTACTGATTTCCCGAGTGATTGTTCGTGCAAGAGAACGATGTGAATACTATATAAATGCTCATTATATTCATCTCGAAATACTAGCTGAAACAAACATATTCTTCTCTGTTAATCTTACTGATATAATTAGACTTTCAGCTTAATCTAGTAGATAATAAACAGATAATAGAGATACATACTCTTACTTAAACATGCATAATAATCTTGATTTAGAAGACTAATAACGATAGTTGTCTACAGAGAAAAAAATCCGATAAATGTTTTTCTTTCCTTGTATCAGCATTGATAAACATAATTTTTTCTTCTGATGATTTGTATGTTTAAAAAAGAAATGTGACACATATCGTTTGTTTGTCATCAATAAAATCCAATAACTGACATTCATACTCATTGTATATTCATAATTATTATTTTTATTTGGATAAAACATCAAACCTACTCACTATTTCTAACTTATGATCGATTGATCAGTCAATAGAACACCGAAATGAATGAAAAGTAAATATACACAAATGTATATTTCTCTCTTTGATCTTATGCAATTAAACAAGATAGTAATAAAATATTTTATCTATTTTTGGTTTTTTGGCTTCAAACTTAGATTAATTATAATAAAGAGAATGGAAGTGAACATCCGCAAATTAACTCATCCTAATACAATATAAAATATGTCTATGCATGTGTCAGTTAGTATCATCAGTTCCGCTCAAATAATCGTCTTGAAGCGCATACAAGCAAATGAAATGAGAGACTGAATTTTCTCGCGTTTTTCTTTTTTTTCTTATTAGACAGACATACGTGCTTTCATTCAATACGATTGCACAGCATTTATATTAAGATACATGCACTTGCTCATTTATGTTTTCTCATGCAATCAGTTAGATAAAGAGGCATGAACATCTGAATGATTATTTTTTACAAATAAGCATGAACTTGCCTTAAAGCTACTTAACCCGACACACATACATATTTCCCTGAATGAATAAGAACGTATATGTATGTCTGTGTATACATATATAAATATATACAAAAGCAAGCTATCTAAAGAATTGCTGAAAAGTAATTATCCATGAAACATAACTTATCAATGTTACTATAATTTAGTCCGAGGACGACTGGGAATCAAAGACTAATCTTAAACAAACAGCTTGAATTTGTCATATGAATCAAGCAAAGACATATATATGTTGATTATTTATTTAGATTAGCCTTCTAAATTCTATCTTTATTTTTTTGCTGGCAAAAAAAGAAAATCATTAGATGAGATCAATAAATCATTTTTTTTTGTGTTTCAGGATTTATTTGCATTCTGGGAAATGATTAAGTGAGAGAATATTTATTTGCTAGTTTCCGGATTAGATCACCTAAAGCTTATTAGAAAAAAAAATTCTCATCAGTTAAAAAGAATTTTTTTCTTTCGTTCTCTTTTCAAAAGAATGTATATGAATGTTCATTCTCTTCTCCTTCATTTCAAAAAAAAACAATAAATGATTCTTGATCATCATCAATTCACATATCGTCTTTTTCATTCGATTCAAACAAACGCCAATATTTATGATATTAAAAATCTTCTTAGAAAAATCTCTCAAATCAATCTCAATTCAATGAAATATGATGGACAAACATTAATACATTGTTGTTGTCTTTATAATCGATTAGATTTATTAAAACTATTTATTGAATATGGTGATTGTGATATCTTGCAGAATAATGATGATGGTTGGTTACCAATCCATGTAGCTATTTATCTTGGATATATGGATATTGTTTATTATTTACTTCAATATTCATTGGAAAGTATTATGTAAAAGCAAAATTTCTTTGTTTGGTGTACACAGTGATTATTGTAACATTCTTTGTTTGAATAAAAGAAAGTTTTATTATTGTGTTCGTGTGAATGAGAACAAGTTGTTCATTGTATATAGTTTTACCCATCGGCTATAAAACAATTGAGATCAATCGAGCGAGAAAAAAAGATCGATAAGATGATATATCGAAATACTTCTTTTTATGTTCAAGGTGAAAATTAAGGCGGATACTTCGATCGAATGTGAAAGAGAGAAAAGTGCAATTGAGTCAATGTATTTGATTAGGTTAAAACACGTGTGATAGAGAAAAAAAGGAAATGAAAAAAACGAGAAGTCTATTTATAGATATGAATCAGGAAATTGTTATTCGTTGAATTTTTTACATTGTCAAGTATATTATATAGAACATAATCGATTTCTATTGCATTAAAAATTTCTTTCAAAAGATTAATTTTGCTGTTGAATAGATGAATGATGGTTATAGTTATGATATATATTGATTAAATATTAATATTATTTGATGAAGGTTAATTATTGATTATGAACGAAACTATGATTCATCGATCATCCAACCGATAAAATTATTGATTTCCTTTCGGACTTTCTTGCATATTTCATTTAGTTTTTTCTTATGTAATTGTATTCACGTAAAGAGTAACATCCTTTTTTTTCTATTTAATATTAAGATACATAATATGTATATATAGAAAAACGGAAAAATACACCAAAAGATAAAGAGAGGAAAAGAAAGCAACAACAATATTTGTTTACACTTTCACCGGAAGAATATATAGTTGGAAATGTGGTGAATTATTGTTTAAACATGAACGCCAATCAACAAATTTCTGATGAGAGGAATTATTCATTATTGAAAATTGATCATCGGGATTTTTTTCTAGATTTATATCGTTCTTTGCAGTTGTCCTAATATGAGGGATTGCTGGTCGAATGATACGTCGATTGCTATGTTTCGTTAATAATATGGGTCGACGAACTTGTCGATCAGATGTTGAATGTTTTGTTTTTAAATGAATTTGTTCAGATGCAGGAAGTGACCAGGCACTTCTTAAACATTCTATCCATTCTAAATCAAGTTTCGTAGCAGTTTTTTCAGCTTCATGTAAATTTGTTTCCCAATTGTAATCATTCTAAAATAGATTTTAGATTAATTATTGACGTCAAAGTCTTATTTTCTTTCACTACGCAGACGATAGTTCTATAAATATTTTATAGTTTCTTTTCTAATCATTTTGATATTAATATCGAAGAAGTATCTTATAAATATTATTATTAATGTATAGTCTATTGAAATAGTACGTGCGCACCGTTCTAGACAAAAAACATTTTTTTTTTATCGTAAAGTTTTACGAACGAGAAAATAAGTAACTCTTACACTTAATAGAATTCATAAGCCTGACGTCAGACGATCTATAATTGACTCTAGAAATACAAAATAATCCCTGACTGGATTCTTTGAAATGATCAATAGTCATCTATGTTTCGTTTTCAATATAAACTTACATCGATCGAAAGTTTTTCTTGTCTTCTATAATCATTAATTAATCTATCATAATAAGCTTGATAAATACAAAATCTTGTTTTATTCCATGCAAGAAATTCTTCATGATTTGATTCATTAAAATTATGTAAGAAAAAAACATCTTTAGTAAAATTTTCATCCGATTCTTTTTTATAATACCAATGTAATAATTGTATTTCAACTAATTTTAATAATGCACGTTTAAGACGAAAATCACTCATAGATAAATGCATTTGATCATATTTTATTTGATGTAAAGCTAAATGAAAATGTATTTTTGACATATCTAATAATCCTAAACGTGCATAAATTTGTGCTAATGTACAATCAGTATAAACAAGTAATAATGTTCGTTCATTGGGTCCAGGACGAAGTTTTTTACGATATTTTGTTATATTATCTAATAAATCAATTGTTATTGGCATAAGTTCATAACCAAGTTCAATACCAACATCAATAACTAATATATAATACCATAATTTTGCATAACAATTCATTGTTTGTTCACTTAAATATTCTAGATGTTGAAGAATTAATTCAATATTTGATACACGCATTTCACATATTAATGCAAATGTTAAATAAATACATGATTCACAAAGAAAGATATTTTCATGATAATTAGTTAATATACGTTTAGCAAAATAACCTGATACTATAGCTGAATCAATTGAACCTTGTTTTAATTCGATTATTAATGATAAGCATTTTAATTTACCAAATTCAAGTTTTTCACGAGGACTTACATATGGCCACCAAAATTGAAGAATTTTATCAATTAATGCTAAACATTGATTATAATCTTTTTGACAATAAAAATATTCAACAAGAATTATTGTACATGAAAGAGAGAATGATAATGGAAATGTATAATATTGTAAATCAATTAATCTAGTTATTGACTCAGTAGATTGATGACGAGATAAATCATATAAAAGAAGATTATATTGACATAATAAATATTCAAGACGATATTTTCCAGTAAAAAGAATAAATTGTTCAGAATTCTAAAGATTTACAAATAGAAAAGAAAAATAAATTCGATTGTTACTTACAGTCGTGGTAGATGTGTGACTACTATCTATTGAAAAATCTTTCGATTGATGCTCTTTACTATGCTCAAATTGTTGTCTTTTTTCTTTTGCTGATGCTGGATCATCGAATTTTGTATTTATTATTAATTTATCCCATATTTTATCTTCATGTAGTTGATTTAATTCTTTTAAATTTTTTTCACATAATTGCTGGGAATCATTTATAGCTCTTGTACGTTGTAAAAGTGTTGCTTGAAAAATATCATAAGTATATTTAATAATTAAATATTGATATTGACCAATAAAATCGTCTCCATTATTTGTATCATTTTGAAATTTTTCTAGAAATTTCATACCATTTTCAATTTCAACTAATAAACGTTGTAAACAATTACAACGTAATAATAAACGACAAATTTCTGTACGATAATACATAATACGATCGAATTGTTTTAAATGTGAATAATCACGTTTATCATCTGCCATTTTTTCATATATATCATAAAGATTTGTATGATATTCAACTAATTTGATATAAACAGACATAACATAATCAATACATTCACATATACGTAAATCATTATAAGAAGTAAATTCATTTAAATATTCATTTAAATCTCGAATATTTTCTTCTTCTTCATTTTGTACTTGGTCATAAACATATTGCATTAAATTATTATGTCGAACATAGGATTGAAATGTATGAAATAAAAGTGATTCATCATAGAGAACTTCAAATGATCGTGTTAGAGAAATTTGTTTATTTAAACGATTTAAATCATCAGATAATCCTTTCATTAATTCTAATGAAAACATTGGTTGTGCAAGTAATTCATCTTCATTAGGTATTGCTCGATGTATTTTACCCGATGCTGGTAATATTGCTTTACGAACTTTTTTCCAATGAGAAAAATAATCCTTTGGAACTGGAACTTCCATTGCCTAAAAATATTTTTTTAGTAAAGATGCATAATTAGATAATTGTCTTAGGTATTTTGATGAGTTACTGTGATGAACTCAACGATGATTTGAAGTTTTGTATCGGGTAATAGAGTAAAAAGTATTAAATGTCATGTGAAGAGTATACAAGGTACAATAAGAAAGCACTGGGATTATCCTTACTGAAATTGAAAAAAGATCGATATTCAATGAACTTAAATTTTCTTTAAATCGCAGATTTAACTAAATAATTTATTGGATTATTCCTCTATTTGATGTTCAAAGACTGATACTATTGAATATTTCTGCTGTCGATTTCGTTTATACTAAATTCGATAATATGTTCATTATTCAAATCAAAGGAAAGTACAAATGATAAATTTTACCTTTGAGTGCGTTTCAGTTTGCACAGTTGTATCATCTGGTAGATTTTCATTTAAATCATCATTACTGTCACTTGGCGTTTGATATTCAATAGATGGTGCTACTGTTGCATTGGAACCAATTGGTGTAAATTGACAGAAGAGATATCTTATAAATGACATAACACGACTTTTATTTGGTCTTGTTGTTGGTGGTGGTACTTCAACAATAGTTTCACATTTATTTGATTTATTATCCGATACAGTTCCATCAACTTTGTGTAATAATTCAGATCTTGATTCACTTACACTAACATTTCTTCGTAGTGGTAATCTAAATAGAGAAAATAATTGACTTGATCTTGATACTGGTGATGTTGGTGCACGTTTAACATTCATTTCAACTGTTGGTGATACATCAGGTGAATAAACACTTATTAAAGTTAAATTTGGATCATTTGATTCACGATGTGTTGTTGGAGAATTTTTTGTATCACATATTTCTTCATTTTTATCATCACTATCATCATCATCATCATCACTAACTATCGTAGGATTTAAAGTTGAAGGTCTTCTCAATGGTGGTAATTTAGCAGAACTGGTATCAACGCTATTTCGACGTTTCTTTTGATTATGATCAGCACTGTAAAAAAAAGATTTTGATAAGAAAATTGACAATAGAACAATACCTGTTTTCTTCATCAACTATTTCATTTGCATTAGGTACTGAAAATGATTGAATTGGTTCATTGACTCCTGTATTTGAACGTGTTCTCGATGGTGAATTAATTGTACGTGATATATTTTTAATAGCATTATCAATCTCCTTCAAAGCAGCCATTTTAACAATATCAACAAAAGCCGGTTGTTGTCTATTTTTAAGAAATTTAGCTAAACCATCTTGTTCTTGTACAAGAAATGGACTATCATTTTTACCCGCTCCACATGTTAAACAAAGAATTGTTGATTGTTTTTCTAAATATTCAATTGCATTACGTGTTAATGAACGTTTTAAACCATCTGTTAATGAATTATTGATTCCTTCACGTATAGTTGAATGTGTGAATGCCATCAAACGACATTGTGATGGAAAACCACCGGGATTTTGTAAACAATAACATTTAATTGTACGTGTTTTAACTGGTTGTTGTTTACCAAAAGCACATTCAATAACATTTCGTTGCATCATTTCTAATATACATGAATGTATATTGATTAATTTTTTTGATTGTGGATCAACTAAATACCATAGAAATGTACGTGAAAATGTATAACCAATAATAGCAGCTATTTTAACAAGAAGACTTTCACCTTCAGATAAACGATCAATTCGACACATAATATAATTTTGAAAATTTTGTTGACAATCAGCATTAAAATCTTCTTCGGTTGGATCACGTAATAAACATATACGAGAAAATATTGGTTCATTTTCACGTTGTTCAGATTTTATTTCTTGTTTTCGACGAGAAAAAAATGTTTTAAATAAACCAGTTTTTATTGGATTATTTATTAAGATTTTATCTGGATCACCTTCAACTAAACCGGAATCTTGATCATGAGAATCATTATTATCATCAATATAGATTTTATCTTTACTCAATAAATCAAATACAATTTGTTCACAAAAACCCGGTATACCATTACAACTTTCATTAAATACTTTAACAAGTTTTGCTGGTAATCGATGAACAGATAACATTTGACATCCTAAAAAATTTCATACTTAATAAATCTAAAAAACTTTCTTTTTTTTCCGGCTTACCAAGTGTTGCTAAACAACGTAATTCTAATCCAGGTAATCGACGAAGATAAACACGTGAATCAGTTGTTATTGATTGTAATATATTCGAATTTGATCGATCATTATTATTTTTTCGTGGTGGTTTCACTGAAAGAATTAATAAACATTTTTGATGACTACCCAATGTAAGTAAATGTTTCAATGAACTTTCATCAGCAAAATGTATATCATCAATGATAAATATAATTTTTGATACAGTTGTAGATGGTATAGCTGCAGTTAAACTTGCTGTTGAACTAGTTGATAATCGAGCTTTTAAATAAATTGGACTAAAATAAATAGCAATATGTAAAGTTATGTCCTTGATACAATTACTCATCATTTTTCCGTTATAGTAATACAAATGTTTACACCTTCGGTCATTATCTCTACAGCATATGTTTTCATGATATATAGACAAATGTCAAGGTTTAGACAAGGACTATAAGAATTATCTGTACATCTAATTCTAATATGATTTAAATGGGTTTCTTTTTCTTCGAAGAATATTGATCAAACTGTTAAATCGTATTTCGATAACAAAAAATAATCATTCTATTTTTAGAATTTATTCATATCATATTTCCTTTAGTTAATAGTCTATGATATAAGTTAAGTTTTTTTGTAACTCGATTCCAATCGTAGGTTGTTACAAATATACCACCTACAATGATAACAATAAACTCATTTGCTAAACATGTTAACTAAGAATATTTCTATACTGATGTTTTATATTTATTTACCATGAATTTGTTGAATTTACGGCAGATGTTGCTCCATATAATTCTGCAATATTATTTGGTATATCAATAAGTTTATTTAGAATATGTAATAGTACTTCATTCATATTTGATTCATAAGTTTTAACTAATGTATTATCATTATTATTTTCTGTTTCAATATGACTATGACGAAATCTCACATCGAGTAAATCATTTAATACAAATAAATTTCGTCTTAAATATAAATCATTTGTTTTATTTATATCAAATAAACGTAAAAGATATTGTTCACGTTCGTATTGAGTTTTTTCATCATGATGAAATTGTAGTAATTGTCTTAATAATGATCGAAGTAAACTAAATTCATTAAAACGTTGTTCTAATTGACAACGATAATTAATAACATGTATGGATGGTTTTTTAATCATTGCACAATCATTTGAATAACAATTTAATGATGATACAGGTTCAGTTCCATTATCATAGATTGGGATATTTGTATTATTACTATTCATTGTTACATCATTTGGAATGTATGTATTATTATAGAAAGAAGCAACAGATGCGTTACTAACATTTGACGAATTTTCTAATGATTTAGCTATGAATTGTAACAAACGACTTCGACCAATTTTATCTTCTCCTAAAATAATTTTAAAGTTAGAATTTTAATTAATTCAAGAATCAACACTGATTAAAAAACAACAAGTGTCATTGAAAGTTTTAGGGATGCCTTATTGCAAAAACAAAATATTAATCAAGTATCTCGGCCAACAACAGAATCCTTAAAAAAAGAGATGTAAAGTTAAATAGTTTGAAGAGATTTTAAAATAGCTTTCATATTTTCTAAGACATCATTGTATGATTAAAGGAAATCTTATGTATGGATAAACATGATTTCAAAGGTTTCTGAAAAAATAATTTTATCTAACCTTCAAAAATAATAGCTGCAAGTTCTCGCCGTCGATTTTTACTATTTACTGGTTCATCAAGTAACATAATTTGTGCTGCAACAATCATTAATTCAACTCTTCGTCCTAATAATGGAAAATCTTCATGTTTTGTATCATTTAATTGATAATTCGATGTTTTATTTTCTTCCATTGCGTGTACTAAATCATGATTATCACAATAATGCCAAATAACACCAACATTATTCATTCCCTTTTTAAAAACAAAAAAAAAAGTATTAAAATTCAATTTTTTGCTTTCATATTACCTTTAAAGTTTTATCCGGTAGAATTTGAAAAAATCGACTACTTAAACGTGAATTATAATATGTTTCTTGATCACATGAGATTATATTTGGATAATTACACATTAAACGTGCAGCCATATTTACTTTTCGACCAATAACTGTATATTCACAACGTGCTCTATGTCCAACTACACCACAATATGTCAAACCCGTTGTCACCTAACCTAACGAAAATACCAAAATGTGTTTTTTTAAAAAAGAAACAGAAAAAAGAAAGCTTTATTTACACCAATTGAACATTTTTCAACAAATTTACATTGATTTTGTATTGTTGAATGAATCATTTGAGCTGATTTAAGTGCATTTGCTGTATCATCACCTTGTTTATAACCTGGTAAACCATAAACACATAAAAATGACCAACCTTTATCAAATAATAATCCTTTTGTTAAAACTCCACCCATCATTTTCGTTAATTCATATATTTGCACGAATATTTTATGAATATTTTCATACATATTATCATTTATTGTTGGTTCATTTACAATATCAAGATTAATAAATGATATTGTTACACGACGTAATTCAGATAAATAATCTAATGATTGTTTACGTTCAATACGTTGATAGACACAATGTAATAAAAATGATTTCATTAATACATCAATTTTAACATAAAGTTCATCATCGGGTAAATCATTTTCCGATGATTCCCTATTATGATTATTATTAGTAACATCATTAGTTATTTCTTGATTTGAAATATCCTATAAACAGATGTTTTTTTTTAATTAATGTTGTATGAAATTGATTAAATCTCAAAAGGATAAGTTATCGTAACCTATTTCTATTGGGAATTTATTCTGATGAAAATATATATAAGTGATAAGAATTAATTATTTCTATTGAATGAATATTATAGATGTACTTAATAAACTTAGAATAATTTCGTTTTAGAAATTATTGACGTAATTAAGTGTTTATCTATGGTAATAGACCTTATCTTATCCAATAATAATATTTGCGTCCTTATTTTAATATTTCGATAAACAAGCTTATCATTACTGACACATACCTTATATGACATATAAAATTTTTACCATTTATTTCAGTACAAAATCATTTGATTAAAACGCCTCATTGATTTTTCTCTCATTAAAATCCTTATCTAACCTTCTCAATCTTGTCATAATGATCAACATACCATTCTATCTTGGATCATTGTTGAATTATTTATATGTTCTTCTGTATCGGAAACTTCACCGATTGATGATCGTCTTGATTGAGAATATTTAACAGCAATATGTTCCTGTTTAGGATCAATATCTTCACTAACAGGAACAAATTCACAATTAAGTGTTGATGTCGATTGTATTTTATCATAAATAGCTTTTGTGATTATAATATCCCCAGGCTCACATAATTGTTCACATGCATTAACATTTTTAATACAATCACCAGTTAATAAATAATGTTTAAAATCTTCCGTACCAACAAATAAAGCACATACAGATCCATAAGCAAGTGCAACTTTTAAACGTAATATAACACCAACATCCGTTTCATAAGCACCACATTTTTGTTGTAAATGTAATGCACATTTTAATGCTTTTTGTGGACCAGTTGTTTCATCTGTCCATAGAGAAAGTATAGCATCACCAGCAAATTTATATATATCACCATCATGTGTTAAGATTTCATAAACAAGTTTATCAAAATAAGAATTTAATGTACGTGTTAATTGATCAATACCTAAATGTGCAGCATTTGAATATTGTTCTGTTAATGATGTAAAACCGGATACATCAAGAAATAATAATGTTGAATTTTCATATTTATGTTCATTTGGTATTGATATATTACCTTTACGATCAATTAAATCATTTAAATTATTTAAAACAATATCTGGAATGTGTGCTTGTACTTCTTGACCTAAATTTAATAGATCATTATCATCATCATCGTTATCATCATCATCATCATCACCACCACCATTATCATTATCATATTGCTTTAATTCATTATTTTTATCCGTAGACGATTCAGTCACAGTTGCACCTATATGTAGAGTAGCAACAAACATTTTAACAGTATTTGTTGCTAATGACGGTAAATCGTGAGACCATGTGCGACGCAATGATTCCTTTCGTCGATTACCATTAGACAGGTGTCTACTTATTGACGATATTTTTTTCTTCGCTTGACTGCTTTCATTTTTTCGATGCATTTTAAATTATTGCTGAATCAATCATTTAAATAGATATTTTGAACACCTTACGGCTCCATTTGATCACCTATACTCTAAAAGATGAATAGAAAAATAAAAATATAGATACTGATCAATAAGATTATCTCCTTCGCTTACATCAATTGTACGCATATATAAATTTATTTCAGTAAACAATTTTTTTCCTCTTAGAATAAAAGAACGATGATAAAAATATAAATTCTCGATTAACTGAGAGAAGAAGAAGAAGAAGAAATATGAGGGATAATCGACCTTCGAATGTATATTATATCAATAGCAACGATGTCAATTTTCTATTGAAATGTCTCTCTATGTATATATATATATATATATGATTTATTTAATGATATTATGTTAGTAATATCAGTCATCAAATATATTTTCATACGGTTCTTTTTTTTCTTTCTTCTTCTTTGTTCTTTCTTACTTGAGTTTTTTTTATTCTATTGTGAAATATTAACGTGCGATGTTTCGGCTTGTATGCTTGTATGTATGCGTTTCGGATGCGAACGTGTTTGCGCGATGATCTAATCTAATCGTATTCTCTAGAACGAATAGCAAAGGATAAAAATAGTATTACATTACTGTATATAAAATGTAAAATTTTGTTAAATATATTTTGACGGTAACTAGTATGATGAACAGAAGTTCTTATGACAGATTACTATTATCTGTACTAGAAATGCCTATTGGCATAAATGATTTATGTCGCTTCTTAGCCTAGTATTTGCTCTCATAAGAGATGATTCTACTTTGATTCTCATTGTTTTTTTTCCTCCCTGTAGAGAAAAAGGCAAACATAAATCAAATATCTAGCTGTGTCTGCAGCCAACCAACTGTTGTCGGCAATCGTGATGACATTTGTCGTTTAAAGAAGATGCTTGTATTATAAGGATATATAGCTTTAATTACAGGTAGAACTAGTAAGGCATGTTCTTTCATTTGTTCAAGTAATAAAATACAAAATAATGAAAAAAAAATACCATCAAGTCTTTGAAATGAATTCTTATAAATGTCAAAATTACTTGATCTATTCGTTTATTAATCAAATATGGCGTATATAAGTAGAGTGCAAAAAAAAAATTAAAAAAAATTTTTTTTCTTTTTTTGTATCGAAATAAATAAATAAAAAATGATAGCTATAGTTGATACAAATACAAGTAAAGAAGAAGAAAAAAAAGAAGAAGAAATAGACGAAGCCATGGTGTATTGTGATACTTTAGAACATTGACGTACACGTCCTTATCAAATGATGGAATGCAATGAGACATGATGAGAAGCTTACAAAATACCGGTTACATTGGTCTCTTGTCAAAAGCAACCATATAATAGTTTTTAGTTTCTTTCTGACAATCATCATCATCATTAGTCATAAATACATTATAGAATAAACTTGGATGAGGAACACAAATATATTAATCTAATATATATAGATTAGTTTTTTTTTCTTTTGTTTTTCTTCCTAACTGATGTCCAGTCTTTAGCAGAACACATAAGTATTTATATTAAGTAAAATGATTGACATGATGCTAAGAAAACCTGTTAATTGATATCTATTGCTTACAGATTAAATTTAGACGATTATGAAGAAAAACAGTAATATAATAGGATATGTTTGTTTATTTTATGTAAAAAATTTATTAAATAACAAAATCTTTCAGTTTTTTTTCATAGATGATTTCTGATGTAATAGAAAATCTTAATACTTTACCTGTAGAAAGTTATTTTGAAAAAAAATGAAATTGTATGTACATCAGATTTTGTGATCGGTAATCATTAAAAGATTTTCGTTCTTTCTCCTTGTATTTACTGACAAAGTAAAAGTCATAATAAAGCTTTAATGTAAAACTCATGTTAGATACTCAGTCATATTGCCTATCAGCTTACAACAACACGTCTATTCTTTCGTTTAATGAGCATCTTTTTCTAATCATAAATAACAATTCCAACTGTCACGTTTGTTCCATATAATAACATGTTATTCATTGATAAAAACAAGAACAAAAAGAAAAAGAAAAAGATTCTTGACAAATAAAAAATTATATATGAAATAAATATACTCATATGATATTTATATATTTAATCGAAATTGACAAGACAAATTGATATAAGTTAAGACAAGGAAAAAAGATCTCATATCACACATCAAATACTTTTTCTTTTTATCGGATTTCTACCGGTTAAAATTATATATTTGTGTGCAAAGAATAAATACAATGACAATAAATAAAAAGAGATATAGATGAGATAAATGTTCCTCATTTATTGCTAAGACAAAATTATTTCACTCTTTGGAATCTGTACGTTTAACGGGTAAATATTGTTGCGTATGTTTAAGATATCGATCAATCACAGATGGACCATCTCTAGAAAAATAATAATAATAAAAATCAATGAATATAAAATTAACAAATGATTAATTACCTTTGATTACTATCAATACTTGCTGTATCTCCATCAATGTGTTCGGAAATATTTTTTCTATCATTACCATTCGATGTAGATAGATCTTTAATACGACGAATTGATTCATAATCATTTGTCGAAGAATGATTTGGTTTCATACGATGATTATGTTCAATTTCTTCTGTTATAAATTTATATTTTAAATTATTTTCTACATCACAATTTTGTAAATCTTCATCATCACTATCATCAGGTGCAACAAAAACAACTGTTAATGTTATATCTCCTTTCTATTAAAATAAATAAGAATATATATATATATTTTTTCTTCTTTAATAGACACATACAACAGATGATAAAACTTGAACAGCATCTTTATGTTTTGTATCACGTAAATCATGTTTATTAACAGCTAATATTGAATCTCCCACATATAATTGTCCACAACGCCATGCTGGACCATCTTCATGAATTTCTGATATAAGAATAGGTAAACCATGTTCTTTTCCACCTGTAATTGATATTCCTAATGCTTCTTTAGCATCTTTATAGAGTTTAACTGTACGTATTTCACCCACACCTTGACGTTTTTTTAATGTATTAAAATCCTATTTAAGAGAAAAAAAATATAAAGGTTAAATAAAAGAAAAAAAAAGTAAATTACATGTCCCGGTGGAATTGTTAAAATTTTGTTGACTTTGTCTCGTCCACGACATGCACGTATAACCGTTTTATGACGATGTAGATGTATTTCAGCTTCAAGTTGATTCCATAGATTTTCATGAACAGCTCCACGTAAATCTCGACCAAGTAATTGAATTTGTTGAATTCTATATATACAATAAATGATTATAAGTATATACGCAAGTAATAAACATAGAGATATCTCATATTTTTTTGTACTCGGGCTAATGCGTTATTTTATGATCAATAAAATTGATAATGTAGAATTATTTCTCAATAGATAATACGAAAGAATATAGTTTTGTAATTACCATCATATTCATTATTAAACAATAGGCGTACGTGACAAAAATAAATCAAAAAGAAAACTATTGTTGTCTTAGATAGATTAAAATTACCTTCCCGCTAATTCTTTATCAAGATATTTTGCAGCTAAACGTGAACCGTAAATTTCAGATTGTAAATTAATAATCTGATTTTTAAGTTTTTCATTTTCTTTTTCAGTTTCTTGTAATTTTATTTCTGGTATTGCATTTTGTTTAAATTCTTCACGTTGTTTAGCTATTTGTTCTTCCTAAATAAATTATTCGAATTAAAATTAAGAATCGAACTTCTATAATATACAAACTAATTTTTTTCGTATTGTATCAGCACCTTCAATTTCTCCTTGATTTTTTAATACTTGACATTCTAATTGTAATGCATGTAATTGTGCCATTATGTCTTTCGATTGCTGCTCGGATGCTTGTCGTTCAGCTTTGATTTCAACAATTTCTGCGCGAACATCCATTAATTGTGCCTAATTTTAAAGAAAATAAATACGAAAACGAAATATAAAACAAAAATTTACTTCTAATTTAGCATTTGCTTGTGAAATTGTTTGGGCTTTATGTTCTAATTGAGCAAAACATGAACTGAGTATAGTCATTTTTGCTCGGCCTTCATCTGTTATTTCCGATTGATCTTGATCGATTTCTCCGAGTAATAAATCAATATCAACAAAAGCTTTATCAAATTCTTTTTCAAGAATATCAAGCCAACGAAATGCACTACCCGATACGGACATATTCGATGATATTGAAAATGCTTTACAATTTCATATTATTAACCAAGAAAAACAGAACACTGATTGTGTTTGATTTGATACAAAAAAAAAATCTGTAAAATTATACAAGAAAAATGTAACCAGTCAGAATTAAATAGAACTATCAAGATTTTTTCTTGATAACAAAACTTATAAAAATCATTTATTACATAAATATTTTAGAATAATTTATAAAGAATGTTTATAAAAAAAATCGAAAATAACAGTTAAAATTATCTGTCTCTATGCGACATCTCTAGTTGTACAATAAATTATTATACACATACAATAAAGAACAGGGAAATGTTGAATCATCATCAATTTCTTTTCAAAAATCAGTAATTGAGAAGGAATAAGTACATTACACAGATGTTTATGGTAATATTCGAAAGTATTTAGATTCTGTATTTATCAGTATTTTGATTAAATTTAATTATCATATTTCTATACAAATGAATATTCATTGATTAGAATAAAAAAGTGTTTTGACATATATGTATCTAATGCTTTCGATTCTTGTTGTCATACATACTGATGATTTTTTTTTGTTAGTTACACCCTTATCTATATTCCTTTTTTTTTCTGATTTATATTACAGCACTTGAGTTACAATTCTGAACATGTGTAATCAGAATGATAATTTTGTCACATTTTATTGTGCTCTAGAAAGAGTGAACGGATTTCTATCAGCATAAATCAATTAAAACTATTGGAAATTAAATTTACCTTTTTGTCCAAATAGCCATTATTTATTCGATAATGCAATGCTATATAATAAGTTATTTGTAAGAAATAGGCCAAGATCAGTTATAGAAAATTGGATTGATATTCGTAGATAATCAAGGAATCATTCTTCACATGTATTATAATATGCGGAGAAAACAAATGATGATAAACTTCACTAGAATGTCTTCATTGTATAACTCTTAAGTATATTTAGGAAATCTAAAAAAAATAAATAAATAAGCATTGCTGACATATTTAATGCAAGACTGCAAAACAGCTGTTTATTTGTTTTTATTATGAAATATACGTATTATCGTAAGTTTTGCATAACAAAATATAGTTTATGCTCTAATTCTTTGCATTAATTTATTCTCGTCTAGATTATTCTACATATAATGACATAAATACTCTCGAAGAGAAATGTAAGACAGATGACGAATTACTTTTGTTAGACGTCTGTCATGTAGATCTCGTAATAAATTGATCATTTTCATATGATGACATTTTTTTCAATACTCATTTGTATATTATTATCTCAGAAATATTGAATATAATCATAACGAAAACTAACTAGACGATGTTAAATAAAACCATAATGAATGAACAAATTCCTTTAATATCTTTAAAATATATAGAAGAAAAATTTTCAGCCATTGATAAATAAAACACTTCGTATTTGTTATCTTTTTTTATCTGTTCGATATTATATTAATCCATTCAGTTCTATAGTAGTAGCAAATATACTACGCATCTACTATATTTACTTCTAGTCAATACAGCATAAATAATTTGCAACTCAATGTTTTAACCTTCTTTATATTATCGTAATTATTATTTACAAGTGAGTGGTACATTTCATTAGACTATTGATTTTTATAAAGATATTTTTTTTAATCAACGAAAAAATAAAATAAAATATTTTTATCGTAAAATGAATAAAAAAAAACGAAAATTTGTATCTAATTTGATGAATTTGTATCTAATAAATTATATATAATCATTGACATTTTTAAATCTTCATTAACTAATTGGTTATTATTTAATGAAGGAAAATCAAGTAGACTATGAAGTTTTTTTGGAGATGTTAAAATTTTTAATGCTAAATGTGTCATTGGATTTATTCTTGATGACTGTACTGAATTTGTTTGTTGTCTTAAAGCTATTTGTGGCGTATTTGTTGGCGTAGGTAATAAACGTTGACCTTTTAATTTATGTGTTAATACCGACCATGTTGAATGTGTCGGTTGTAAATCAATTTGTGATGGCCATTTATTTGTTGACGATGACGATGATGATGTTGTTGTTGAAAAAATAGTAGATGTTTTTCTCATTTTTTTATCTTGATTTTTTGTTGATTTAACATTTTTTTGATATTTACTTGAGTGTTGTTGTTGCTGTAAAAGTGATATATCATCTAATGATTTACTAGGAGAATAATCATTTGAATTATTTTCTTTTAGATTTATTAAATTCTTATTGGATTCAATATGAAATATTTGTTTTAAAGCATTTTCAAGTAAATCATGTTGTGTTGATTGTCGTTGATTTCGATGATAAATAATTGAATGTTTAAAATGAAGTATACATATATGACGAAGAGAAAGAATTTGTTTATCATTCTGATATGTACGATTATCAATTTGTTCATTATCAAAAATAATATCAGGATTTACTTTATAATTAAGTAAGATTAATAAATAAATAATTGATTTTAATTGATTTACATAAGCAAGATCAAGTAATGTTCGACCAAGATTATCTTGATTATGACGATAATCAACATACTGAATAAAACAATAAAATAAACGAATATGTCGTTTTAACATAATAGTTGATGATATCATAGCATGTAAACATGTTTGATCATTATTGTCTAGATGATAAGCATTAGCACCAGCACGAAGTAATGTTAATGCGACATCAAGATGACCTTCTATACATGCGTAGAATAATGGTGTTTGATTTCGATTATCACCTTGATTAAGTGCTTTTAGTATTATTTCATCATTTGATGATGATGATGATGATGATGTTAGAAGTTCTTGAAGAACTGGTAATGAACCAAGAAATGCAGCAATATGAAATGCTGTCATATGACGATCATTGGTTGCACATAGATCAGCATTATGTGATAAAAGAAATGCACATATTGTTGGATGATTACTAGCACAAGCACACATTAAAGGTGTCCAATTCTGACTAGAGAGAAAAAAGAAAATAATGTTTCTATTTATAAAAAAAGAAATTTTGTTCGAAACAAAAAAGACCCGTACGCATCAGGTTTATGAATAATACTATGTTCGGTATCAGCTGTTGAAATAAAATGTTGAATTAATCGAATATTTCCTGTAGATACAGCTAGATGAAAAGAATTTCGACCAGTATTATCTTGTTTATACATATCAGCACCATGAGACAAAAGCATTTGTACAATCTATGTATCCATCTATAATAATACTAATTTTCTGTTCTTTCTTTATCGTTTAATTAATCTCACTTCTTCATAGCCCATATAAGCAGCAATATGAAGCGGTGTTGAAGAACTTATATCAGCTGCATTGAGTTGTGCACCGGCTTGGATTAACATCTGAACAGCACGTATATTAGCTGATTCAACAGCTACATGCAATGCTGTCGCTTTTGTGGAAGGATCTGGTTGATCTGGTGGGAAACCTGAAATATGATCTCATTGCTCTTTAACTAGTTATTATGTTTATATCAAACATAATGTTATTCATTGTTTATTACTAACCTGCAAGCAAATACTTGTGTAATGTGTCAGTATCCTTATCTTGGGCAGCATTGACAAAAGTATTTACATCAAGTATTGGAACAAGTGATGAAGTTGATAGAGAAATAGTTGATTTTCGTTCATTATTTGAAGGACCAAGAAATAGATTACGTAAACGCTATGATTATAATTATAACAAAAAAAAAATTAGAATAATTAATTATTGTAGTTAGTTAAGTAACAAATTCCATTACATACCATATTTTATATATATTTACATACGAGCACGACCGGTATGTAGAAAGAAGAATAGAAAGAAAAGGTGTGGTAAAGGTGATTACGATTATGGGTCGTCGTTGACATCAACTTTTTGTTTTTTCCCTTGTCATTCGACTCAACACAATGTATGCACATATACACATAGAATAAAAGACAGGCTAAGACAGATCATTGATACACTTGATCCGTCAGTCAGTTGATGCCAATTGATTATTAAAAATACTGACAGGTGCTTTATACTCTTCGTATACAAACGATTCAAGAGAATGAAAATGAGACGAAAGAAGCAGAAACTATACAGCGGTAAAGAAACGAATGATTTATTCTATATATATTCTATATATATATATATACATACAGTGATGTCGATAGTGGTGATGGCGATAGTGAAAAGAACACAAAAAAAAGAACAAGAAAAACGGCATAGTATGGAATCGGTATAATGGTAAGAAGGAGGGAAAGAGAAGCAAAAAAAAAAGATTGTTCTGGTTGTTGTGCGATTTAGGGACCTGTGATGTTAGTAGACCGATAAATAAAAAAGAAAAGAGCATGTGCTATACATTGAGTAGATTCTCGATAACGTTTGATTGAGAAGGACAAACGAAGAAAACAAAAGAATGATGACATATATAATTAAAAGCAGAAAGGCGAAATTATTTTATCACTTAGAATTTTCTATAGATGAATTGTAAATTAAATCTTCTTAGAAGAATATATCATTTTCATAATATTGATACAATATCAAGGTTACAAGTTATATTACACATTTCTTTTCAATATCTCATGTATATCAAAATTCGATGAGGTTATGTAATAATATTCTTTCCACTTATACAATAAAACTGTTTATTAGTATATTTCAACAACTTTACTTGCTATCAATTAACACAAAAATACGATAAAGACAGGTATTACTAATTGTATAGTAATTAAAAACTAAACAATACAATAATCACAGATAATATTCAAATGTATAGAGAGAGATTGATGATATGAAAGAAAGAACGAAAAAAATCTATCTAAAGAAACTCTCTTGATCTTCTCAATTCAAGTATTGTTTTCATAGTAAAAATGAACATCGAAACAAACATAAGAACAATAAACGATAAATTACATAAACAAAATGAGAAAGCAATATATTTTTTCAGGCAAGTTCTTCTTTTTTGTTGTTTTAATAAATGTTGTTGTACTTGAAATTGTCGTCGAGCATCTAATTGTATATCTCCATCATTAGTCATATCAAGTGAAGATTTTTTAACG